CGTCGAGCCGTGCTGGGGGGCGGCGGGTGCGAGGGGTCACACGGCCGCCACCACCACCACCGCCACCACCACCACCGCCGCCACCCAGTGCCAAGCCGTGCTTGACCCGCTCCTGCGCGCTCTTGCCACCATTTACCCTGCAAAAGCAGGGCAGGAGCTGGGTATGTGCGGCCGCAGGTTAACGTTTAAAGCCCTGCCTCGTGCGTGAGGGTGATCGCCAGCCAGAGATCCTGCGCGAGATGAGCGGATGTTCAAGCATGAGGGACAAGCTGTTTGGGAAAAGCAGACCTCTCGCAGAGAAGGCAGCGAGCAGCAGTACAGCAGCCACCCTCTTCAGCGTGGAGGATGAGTGCAAAAGGGAACAAAAAGACCCAGGAAAACCAGATCTTGCGAGTTTGTTACTGGCTGCGGGATGGACTGGCCGGATGCTGCTGGAGATGGTTGCCGTTGCGCATGGCTGCCTTCCGCCGACCGGGAGGTGCCTCATCGCCCTTCCTCACCACTTCTTGCCTTCAGGACAACCTCGGGACGGAAGCGGCGCCCAGGTGTTGGGGTGTGGGCTCCTCCTGGCACTGCCGTCTCCCTGCAGCTGCCCTGGGGGCTTTGGAGCAGAAGCCCATGGGCAGGGACTGCTTCCCTCCTCCATCGGTCTGTGAGGATCACAGTAATGTCTGCAGGGCCCTGCCCACTAGCATTTAGCAATCCCTTTAGGTGATCCTCTACTGTCATTATTTTTTAATTTATGTAGTGTTTTAGGCTCTAAGTAGTTTTGCTTGCTATTCAATTTCTTCCTGGTTATGAAAGACTTGCTTGGCTAGTTGGAAAGGAATACGTCTTACAAGAAGTTTATTAGGAAAAGTGCAGACTGGTAGGTAAAAGTGTACATGTCTGTGTGTGAGCAAAGAAGAACAAGATTTGCGACAAGCACAAATCCCCTTCTGGATCCTTAGAGCTGGGATGATCTAGTTGGTTTCTGCAGTTGGGAGGCACTGATTTGGGAACAAGCTCAGGCCTTGTAGCTGCAGTTAAGAAGACCGTTCTGTCAATCCTTAGGTTAAACTGCATCTCCGATATCTTACTTTCGCGATTACGTCTCTAAAAATACAGCTTTCAACAACAATGAGAAGGCAGAAAGCCTATTCCTATAGCTGTTTTCCTGCTGCATCTCATTAAATTAATTACATCAATATGTGGCAACTTATCTCCCCACAGGCTTAGAGGCATGTCTGCTGTACCCAGTGACTGCTGCCTGCCAACTCCCAACCGAAAAAAAAAAAAAGAAAAAATACAGAACAAAAACCCAGAAGCCTGGAGCAAATACAAAGGATACTAGAACTAGATAGCAGAATGTCATCACTGGGATAAGGCCCTGAAAGTTGCACTTGTCTGAAGTCCAAGATTTGCTCTCTTCGCTCCAAAGAGTGCAAAGAAAAGCCTTTCCGACAAGCAAAACAATTGATGACAGTTCAATATCTTTCAAGTCATCAGCACTAGAAAAGAATATTTCATTATGAGCTGGACCTGATTCCGACACAGATCACCTCACGGATGCCTCCTTTCCAGTTCTGGATCACATGATTCATCTTTTCTTCTATGAAAGGTCACATTGTACTGCTGCAATAGTCAAAGAGCTGCCTGTGCGCAAAGTACGATTAGGCAAATGCATAGGGGATTTTCAAAGGCATAAAGCACAGTTTGGATCCAACTGCCCTTGAAAGTCAACAAGTTTGGGGCATTTTCTCTCCTTTCTGCCTTTGAAAATCTCCTTCCTCAGTATTTAAGTTTTCTTCCAGTGGCCGTCCACAAAAATCTAGGCCCACATAACCAGTAACTTGGCCACAGACCACAAGCAAGTGTTCCTCAGATTGCTTGTAGCCCACAGGCCACTGACTGGGAACCTGTTTTGTCACTGGAGAACTGAAAATTTCACAGAATTTTCTGACAGCTAATCATATACAACAAAAGCAGTTTCAGCTGTCTCTTGATGGAGAAACAATCTTTCCCCAGCCTGAGTCCTAGAGCTGACCTGAAAGGAACAAATTTGACTTCTGGAGTGTTTCCCAATAAATCATAGTTCTCTGCATGATGTGAGACTGCCCTTGTCTTCACACACACTTTACTGCTATTAATGTCTCTCTGTTTTTGCTTTTCTGTTTAAAAATCGTTTGGGAGTGATTAGTGGAAGCCAGGTATTGTATCCCTCCTTCCCACACCAAGTAAACTGAAACGTCAGTGGAGTTGCATTCCTTCTGCTCTCTCTCTTCAGCCAGGTGAATCATGAGTTATTTATTCTCTGCACCATCGAACAGCCTCAAGAGGCTGGATTGAGCACGCCCTTGCCAGCCCTCCAGACGTGTTCCCAGAACAGCTGCAGATTGCATGTTAGGGCACTCTCCAAACAGTGGGAGATGGAGGTTTGCGTCCACCGAGGTTAGATAGGCAATTGGATCTCCCACATCCTAGGTGAGTGCTCCAACAGCCATTATTATAGGGCATTATCTTCCCTATTTTTGATTTTAGAAAGCAGCACTGTATTTTAAGCCTGACTTTGTTGAGTAGGTGTGCCTTGTAAGGGTACACCAACTAGCCTTTTGGGAAAAGATAGGAGGCATGCCCAGTTTCTGGTTCCTGGTCAGGCTTAGATGTGAAATAAGACTGAACAGCTTAGTGCCTTATAGTTCTTATAACTGTCTGGAGTTAAAATAACTAAGTAAATCACAGTCTCTCTGAAGTGTAAGTTTGCTGTTGGGCTAACATATTTCAAGCACTGCACTTTCCAGAACCAGGAACAATGCAATTAACATCAGAACTGTCTACCTTTGACTTTGCAGGCCGAATGGCTAAAATATCCATTTACTCTTGAGCCAGCAGCATTAACTTTTCATATAACACTGACTTGGCTTGAACTGGTGCATCTGGATCTGTAGTGAGATGCTGTAAATACCCTGCCGTCAAGTCCTCAGTGGAACTTTTTGTTTTCGCTGAATTGTCTTTCAGCAACTTGTGAGCACAGCCCACTGTATATGGACATCTAGGAAAGTCACACTTCCCTCTCACTGCAATCTCTGTGAGCAGAGAGCTGCATGCCACTGAGGTTGGCAGACAGGATGGAGCCAAGGCAGTCTGGTTATCAAGACTCTTCCCGAAATGCCCTCACTCTGAATGCATGCTGTGATAGGACAGTGCAATGCTGGGCAGGGATACACCAGACTGTCCCGTAGGAATTAGTATCTTAGTTGGGCTCTCTCCTTCCTCCAAGCACAGCTTTTTGGAGTGCGTGTGCATTGGATTGTTTTGATGCAAGGCTTATGTAGAAGCACATAGTTAGGAAAAGGAGGGCCCAATTTAGATATGTGATCTGACTGGGTATCTTTATTTCCCTCTATTAAGTATAAGTGTGTTGCCCTACTTGGTCAAACTTATAATGGAGCATTTGGCCTTTACTGGGATTGACAGCTTTTCTTACCTTGCCTAAAGTTGACACTAAACACCATTTCCAAGTGAGACAGGAAGCAACCCCCACTCCCCATCATGAAACAGTGGGCAAAGTTCAGGTATGTGTGCTGGTTTGCTGGTCTTTTGTTTTAAGACTGCCTTTAAGGCTACTTGAGTCTTTCAGGTAAAGCAGTGAGATCCAAGTGCTGCAAAATAGATTCTAGTGTGTTGCACTACCTGGATATCACAGTACATGTGTAACTGTGATGCTACCTGCAACAGGAAAACCAGAAATAAGGTACGTGATCTAGTGTAGGAAGAATAATGAGGAGAGCCCTTTTAATTTCTGCCCTGTAAAACCTTCCCATCATCTTAATGTCTGAGAGTGGTTACAACCTATCTATCTTTGTTTGTTATTTATGCCTTGCATGCATCATTTTAAGCACCTTCAGGCACAAGTTAGCTCCTGGCTCAGGTCAGCTTTAGGCAAAGGGAAATGAAACAGATGTCTGGGGTAGCAAAGGCCCACCTTGGAGCAAGAGAGAGAGAGAAATAGACGGAGACCCTGGCAATCCTTAGAGCAGTAGCCATGGCTCCGTGCCCAGGTTGGTGGCCCAGGGCAGCGCCCTCAGACGTGATCCTCCACTCGTAGCTCAGGGCAGTGAGACTGCATGATCTTGCCTCCTCTCCCGTAAACAGATGGTGCTGGCTTTGTGCCAATGTGTACGGCCAGGCTCTGCACCTGCCCTCATCCCTGTCCCCGCCGTTGTCTAGGGCTTGGGGGAGAGGTCATCCATGTGTCATGCAGCACTGGCACCATGGCAGGAGGTGAAAAGCCACCTAGAGCTAAGCTACTTTTCCATACCACCACCTGCAGGTGTCAGTGCCCTATTATCTCAGCAAGGCTGGGCACATGCTGTCAATGCTGGTGGGAGCAGGAACAGAGCAGGGGCACTGAAGTTCCCTACTGCTGGGGCTGGAGTGCTCCCTCTCGCAGTGCTGAGTCACGTAGAGAAGGTGGCATCTTAGGGGAGCAGCGTTGATCCCTTGGGAAACCAGACTGTTACTCACCTAAAAGGGCAAAATCGCTTACTTTGCCCTCATCTTCAGGGAGGTGATACCCATTTTTACCAATGCTGCTCAGAAATGGTACACGGTGCTCAAGGCCTACTGTCACCTTTCCCTCCCTTGCGAAGCAGGACAGAAAATGCAGCAGTGCTGCTTCAACCAGGCAGGAGGAACAGTAAAAAAGTGAGTGGCAGAGGGAGGCCCCCACTGGAGGACACAGCCTAAAAGTGAAGAGGGGCTATGTCAGGATTAGAGCTTGGCAAGTGCTAAAGAAGTTCGGAGTCGGAAGTCAAGAGAGTGCTGAGGTTTAGCTTCTGAAAGGGTTAAGCATGACTTCATGTCAGCGTGTCTAGTTTCTGAACAGGAAAATATTAAAGGAAATTAAATAGATCATGAATTACATATACATATATGTGCATGTATGTATATTCATGTATGTGTATCTTTATTTTGGGGAAATAAACTGTTGGCATTGCTTCTCCTGTAGCTGCTACTCTGAAACCTACACACACCTTGTTTTTTCTCTTACACCTCTCCCTTGGATCCATTCAAAATACAGACTGCTCTGTCTTCCCTTCTTCATTGCTTTCCACCGCAGCCTTTTCTCCACTGAGACCCTGAAAAAGCAAGGGGCTAATGCTTTATTATCTTTCTCCATCTCTTTCCTCAGGAAAAAAGAGCCCGGACCTTGGGGAATACGATCCCCTCACTCAGGCCGATAGTGATGAAAGTGAAGATGACCTGGTGCTCAATATACAGAAGAACGGGGGGGTCAAGAACGGAAAGAGCCCCCCCGAGGAAATGCAGGACCCTGACTCCGATGTGGAGGTTGGGATGACAAAGCAGCACACATCAGAGAGCGCGCCTGAGGGTTATCCTGCAGAGGCAGCCGGGAGTTTGGAGCAGAAGGCTGCTCCCTCCCTCATGTCTTATCTGCGCACAGCAGTCTTTTTGCTCACTGTGGTGATCTCGATGATTCTGGTGTTGGTGTGTGCGTTTCTAATTCCATGTCCCCCTAGAGACTTGCATAACACCTGGAACCACAACCTAGGTCAGGGAGCAGGTGAGAAACCTCGAGGAGCAGCATCTGGCATGGGGGAGGTGGCAGCTGCCAGGCTGGGCATCGGCGGGAGAGACCTATCTGGGAGAGCCAGCTCAGAGCAGAGACCCTTCCTCACCACCGCAGATGCTCTGAGGTAATGCATAGGCGGCTGTGTCCTGCTCACCCTTCAAGCTGAGGCCTGTGAGATCTGGCATCAGTAGATAATAGTGCCACCAAATCTTATTTCTGTCAACACCAAAAAGCATTTTGACTTTTCTCCCATCCTGCCTTTTTGTCCGGATGGTGCTCTCTGTTCCAGATAGAGATGGCCTTGACCACTTTAAAACATACTGCCTCCCTCTCTAGTTCCTGTGTTTCACCAGCACCTCCACACTGACGTGTGTGGGTGCACTTGGAAGAAGAGGGATAGAAGTCTTTGTGTCTCCTGACTGGCTCAACTAACCTTATTTCTTTTGTCTTCTTGCCTTGCTCGAATCCATAAATCAACATTTGTGATCTTTCGTCATTCTGTACAGACCATTGGTAACATTTCTAAAGTGTCTCCCATTCTGCCCTCTGCAGCAAAGTAACAGTGGCTTGTGAAATAATTTCTGCCAGGTCTAGGTATGTCTCTCCCTCCCCTTTTTCTGCCCCCACCTTCTAAATCTGAGTCTTTGGTAAGATGTGTGGTTCCCACATCACCTCAGAGAGTAAAGTGGGAAGCAGACATCTTTATCTTATCAGCTTCTCCTTTTTTTTCCCTTTCCTTTCTCTGACCCAGATGCTGGGTCTCTGCTTTTCCATGCAATGAAAGATCTAGCTGTGGTGGGAGCTGCTGGATATTGGTAGTTATCTAGCAGACTCCATGAGGCTCGGTTATCTATGGGTCTCTTCCGTTGGGCCAGCCCTCAGCTCCTGGTGCAGCTGTTGGGCTCAGTGGCCATTTTGACAACAGCTCGGTAATCCTCTCTTGACTGTTGCAGGTGGTGTGTTGTCCCCACTGGAGCTGTGTGATGTCAATGGCGATGGGCTCCCTGACATCCTCATTGTCTTCACAGCCTTGATGAATGCTAGTGTCATGGGTAAGCACCACAACTCCTTTCCTACAACTTGTGTTCCTACAACTTGCAAAGCCATCATGTTGTCTTTTTCAGATTTCCTTAAAATGGCTGCTGTGCTGTGCCAGTGCTTTGTCACACTGCTCATAATTTTCATTTCAAGCCTGTGCTCCCATTCCTCTCTGGTCAGAGCCATCTCTTTCC